CAGCTCGAAACAAGTGAGACGCACAGTTTGTTGCTCGACTCTACTTTCAACCTCCCTGAATTGTTTTTGAGTGTTCGTTGCTGAGAGCTACGAGCTTGAACTCCTTGGTTTATTGACCTTTCCAGACTCTTGGGTGAGCACGTTGGCGAAACAGCAGAGTCGCCCCTGCTGGACCCTTGCCTCCCCACCGACCTGCTGGATGAGATCGGACCGTCTACACAGAGGCTCCACCTTAGGGGGACGGGAGACTTCGACGAGTGCAGGCGGATTCTCCAGCCGTTCCTCAACAGAACCAATGACACCCAAACGTCCCTGAGCGGCATCTACCAGCCAGCGATTGACTACAGCAACAGCCAGTTTTATGGCTTTTCAGAGTTCTACTACTGCATGGAGGACGTGCTGCGAATGGGCGGGGATTATAATGCTTCTAAATATGCCCGAGCCGCCAAGGTAAACGCTGTAGGAAAACTTATCTATAGTCTCTAAAAGCTTGTATCTATTTTTGCCCATGCTGTATCGATTTAATCCTGAAACAGAAATAGGTCAAGAAAGATTAAAACTGCACTTTAAGTTGGAGAAGTTCTTCATGTCTTTTATAGAATAGTTTATAATTAAACTCATCAATAATGTGTGTATTTAAATAGTGTTGCAATGCTCTTCTCCCTCTATTGTGCTTTTTTTTTTTTTTTTCCATTCACAGGGCTACTGCGCCACCCAGTGGAAGACACTGAAGGAACGCTTCGATTCTGGTCTTTATGCGTCACATGCAGATTTTCACCGGCTCAAGTAAGTCGCACACAGATTTATCAGATCGAGGCAGCCTGTCAGTGATATAAACATATGACTGTTGTTTTTATTCAAATGTCTGCAGGTACCAGTGTTTTAAATCAGCGTGGATGTATGAAGTTTTGCACACGGGTTTTTCCTTCCCAACCAATTACAAAAACCTGAAGACAGCCCTGCTGGTCTATGACAAGGAGGTCCAGTGGACTCTTGGAGCTATTCTTTATAGAACGCGGTTTCTCCCTTTGAGGTAAGATAGAATGTCTTTCACAATTGTGCTTCTCTTAGTTTGGATTCTTATCGCTCTGATGTAATTTTGTCTCCTGAAGTTCAGTCTGGTTCAGCCAGTTTTTCACTCAATCTAGTCTGTCACAAGAACGATTCCTGCTTTACACATGTGAGAAGAGGAACCATTATTCTTTGGAATTGGCTGCTAACGGGGATATATTTAAAAAGATATAAAGAGAAATATGAATGTTTGAAGCTTGGAAATGAGACTAATTTTCAGAAAGCTGCGACTTGTTGCTTGAATAATGACGAATTAAAGAGCTAATGTGACAGAATGAGCGGCCTGTAAAGACTTGTTTTATTATCGCGTTCCAAACTCACCTGGCAGTGCCGCTCTTGTTTTCTTTTCCATCAGGGACATCCCACAGGAGAGTCTGAAAGGAGCACACTCTCACTGGCGACACAGCTTCTCCTTCGTCAACAACCACTACTTGTTCCCGGCTTGTTTCTTTATCGTGTTGCTCTCCATTATACTGTACTTGCTGAGGCTCCGCCGGATCCATCGCCGAGTGGCGCAGCGCTACACTCCCTCCTCTGTGCCGTGGTTGGAAGAGGGCCTCGCCTCGCCCTCTCTCCCAATCAACCTCTGAACGTTGGGCAGCACGAACAGGTTTAGAACTTTCCGAAGTTGGACTCCACTCCTGTCGGACTGTCCGATTTTTAAAAAAAAAATTTTTCAGTGATCTGCTCGCGTTTCTTCCAAGCTGTTGAGCTGGAATTATAAATTTGGACAAATGAGGGACATTTTTCACATGTCTTTGGATGAGAGAGACTATATTGCTTTTAATATTATTTCACCTGCAGCTGCCTTCAGGTGTTTTTATTTTTTAAGTAATAAACACAAAATGGTACTTGGCTTTGTAGTTGATTCACACCCTAATAGATAGACTGTACTTTGGCTTTCACCACACTGGATGAATATATCAGACGTGTAAGTTTTTTTTTATGTTTATTGCCTTTTTCATGTGCATTTTTTTTTGTACTTTTATTTAATTTCATTTTGTTTTGTCTTACTTTTTCTCCCCCCCACCCCCATTTCTCATTGTTGTCAAATAGAAAAAGCACTCTCTACAGAAACCTTACATGCAATATGATTTCTCCATTGCATTGGAAGCACTTTGCACTGCAGTTAATCTGCATGGCCTAGATGAAGCAACTCTTTGGGTGTATTTATCCCTAAACTTTTCTGCATATTTATGTTAGAAGATATGAAGCCTTTCACAGCTGTAATAGTGCAATACATGTCTCGTCACTGCTGGGGTAAGCTTTGCAAACCCGTCTGCCATCCCAACGAGAGAATCAGTCCCCTGCTGGAACTGTTGCTCGGCTCTTTGGTGGGTGTTGTTACTTTAATCGGGGCTTCATTTTCAGAAGCCAGGTATGTCACTGCTGTGAGGAAATCTGTAAATCGGAGCGTGTGTTATTTAAATAAAAAATGGTCTACTCGAGTGCTTGCACAGGCGAATGTGAAATAACTGTTGTGACATTGCAATACAGGAATAATAAAAGTTTTATGAGATACCTGCCTGCTGATCTCATGAGAAGGAAAACGGAATGATTTTGTGTATCTATACAGTGGAAACCAGACATTTGCATGCACTATTTTAACTCCTAACATTTATGTCTCGCTGGCTGATATTAAAGCAGACTACTGTCATTTAAGGTTTCAGGTCAGTATCATAATTATTTTTCCTTTTGAACTTTTTGAGATAAAAAAAAACTTTCTTCACATTCTGAAGTCTACATATTTCCTTTGAAACTGTGTAGTGACACGTGCACTTAGTGTTAGAATATATCTTGGTTTTAAACAGGTACAGTACTAGAAATGCAACAGTTTGTTAGCTTTTTTTTCTCATACTGTTCATAAAGTTTAAAGTTTTTTCACCGAGATGCCAGACAAAATCCAAGAATGGCTAAAGTATCCAGTGGCTGTTTCAAGTATAGAAGCACTGCACTGCCCCTCCCCCACATACTGCTGCTACTTGTTTCTCCTGGACTCTTCACATTACAACTGAAATTAACATATGCTATTTTATCAGCAATTTAAATAATTACACTTTAATCTTTAGTTTAAAAGTCATATTTTTTTTTTTTTGTTAAAATGTTTTTTTTTAATTAAGGTCATACTGAGTGTCTATTACTGCTTATGTGACTAGTGACTAAAACAACAGGATAAGTAAATATTTTCTTCAGAATATCAGACATTGTGTTTTGAAGGACGGCTTTAATGATGGCATTGAGAAATAAATAAATATGAGACTAATTACGTCTACAGAAAAATCTGAAAAACTAAACTTACTAGACTCAAGAGTGTCAAGCAGCATAAGATGTGTGATTTGAGAGTTTGTGAACGTAAATGTGCTATGTGAAACTACACGGAAGTGTATCTTTCAGGCATGCAGATAAACATATGCAAATAAGCGTTATCAACAACACCCCTTGTGACTCTGCAGTGTGTTTTGTGGTAAGTGCTTCAGTTATTGTTGTTTAAAACTTCTTAATTGCTTCAATAGAATTGAAAAATCTTTCCTACCCGTCACTGTAAATTATATAAATGCGACCTTTGATAGAGCTTTTTTACACTAAGGTTCTTTTCATCTTTTTCTTATTGAATTTTATTCCCTAACCTTGATTCAGATGTCCGGTTTGTGATGTTGAGAATTTCTCCGTGGGGATTAATAAAGTATTACTGAATTTCTAATCAAATCAATTCTCAAGTCAAATATTTTGGACAATCGACAAGTTACAAACTTGAAGAAGCACATGTGTGCTCATGCCCAGTGGATCTTCAATCTTCTCAAAACAAACAGGAAGGTTTTATTTCCCAGGACAACATATGCAGCTAAAATATAACAAAATATTAAAAAAAGTTAAATACTTCTCATTCAAAAGCTGGAACTAAAGCATAAATGTGGTGTTTCTTTTTGATAAGACTTTGTTTTCCACTTCAGGCTGTTTCATGTGACTGTCCACATGATTTGCTGCAGTAATGATGTTTGCAGATCCATTTGATTGGACTGATGAGGCTTTCGGGTGAGGGGCTTCGGAAAAACTTCACTCATTTTCATTGTTTCCTTCCAAAAGCTTGTATTTTGGGATATAATATAATATAATATAATATAATATAATATAATATATTGAAGTCCCTATTTAAACCAAAAGTCTTCTTAATTTTCCTCACTCTCCAGAGTGTTGCATGTGTGAAACTATTTGTGCTCTGCAGATTTCTTCTGTTCTGTTTTGCTTTTTTGTCTGTTTCTGGAAAAAAAGAAACAGACAAAAATTTATGAATGTATCATATCCTTGTATGATACATTGTGAGTTGTCCAAAGAGAACTTGGTTGCTACTTATATGGGTCTATGTTGATTTGAAGAGCATTTTTTTCTCTTTATAATTTAAATCACTTTATATTTAATTATCCTTATTTGATACAAAAAAATGTTTCATAATCTGAAAAAAGTCGCCCCCCCCCCAAAAAAAAAAAAAAATCTAAAAGGGGGCAAAAACTTTTTCAAAGCACTCTCTGTAGTCTATACAAACACAAACCCTCCTTAATTTTTCCAGACATATCTTGACTTATAAACATCTTGTTTTAATACGACTGTTATTCTTAGTTTTTAGTTTTCCACAGCGTCCTAAATAGTCTGTCTGTAGATTTCAGTTAGCCATGGTTTGTCAGAAGTAACCTCCCCTTTCAGATAGGGCATTTTGAAGAAAAGATTTCTCCATATTATTGAACATGTGTTATCCGGCAGTGAGACCACACCTGCTTATCTACCGGACCAGAACTGGGCAATGTTCGCGGTTTTGTCAAAGTCATTCAAAACTTGGGAGGCTCAAGTTGTTTCACCGGCTGAGCTTTGAAGTGGAACAGGAATTCAACACAGAAACTTGTCATTGGTCGCTCAGAAAAAGAGCCCGCCTATTATCTCACTATGTGGGATTTGATTGGTTAACATTACCGTCAGCCACGCCTCTAAGCGATGTCCTACGGGCGCTGTTGGAACTCCTGTAAGTAGTGGTGATGTTGTGGTTATCCATGCCGCGGACACATTCTCCGATCGTTCTCTTGTACGGAAGGCCACCTGTTGCGACAGCTCCCCACGCATGGAGTTAAGCTCGGACCGTGCGGTGGCAAGGCTGGAGATGTCGCAGATCCAGAACGAAGACGGGGAGCCTTTTAATGAAAACAGCGACGGGGACTACGAGAGCTTGCCGCCTCATGTCTCCGTGACGACCCACATGACAGCCGGAGCCGTGGCAGGCGTACTGGAGCACACGGTGATGTACCCCGTGGACTCTGTCAAGGTAACGCCGTCTCAGAGGCTGCTCGGTTGTTTCTGTTCTCTCCCCGGGGGCTCAAACACTAACCAGCCGGAAAGGAGACGCCAAGTACGGGGAGGATGTGCTAACAGGCGTTAGCCTGTGAAGTCTTCGGACTGCCCATCCTTAGTTAGCCTCGGTGTTAGCTCATCCAATTACGGCAGCCTTGTCGCTTCAAATAGACTGACCGAACAAGTTAAACTGGTCAGCAAAGTAAATCAGAGTAAAAACAAAATGTTTCCCTTCAACTGAAGAAGTTTTGCTCTTTTTTTTTTTTTGCTTTGCTACTTAATAACTTTGCTAACCAAACAAGCTTACTCAAAGACAACTTTAACATTAAAAAGAGGACATTCACCAGGTTTATATCTAAACTATCTCGCAATTCAACTATAGTATTAAAATGAGATGTAATAATAGTCATACGATTGTGAATCTACTCAAATAAATAATGTTAACCATATTTTTCTTTGACATTATTCAGGCTAGGTGAAGGTCAAGGTTTTGTTCGGTTAGGATAGATGTCAAAATGTCCTTTGAATGAAAGACTCTAACCACAACTCTGTTACTCCCATTATTAAAGCGTTAATAGTACCTTATTACATTGCATCTTTGACTGTGTACTTTCATAAATTACATGCTTGTAGCCACTAGATTCATTGACTGATATTCAAACTTTAATCTTATCTCAATTAGGCTGTGAGCTTTACTTAAGGAGTGCAGGATTAGAGGACCAAACCATCTAAATCTTCTTGTGATCACTTCACTTAGAGAATTAGGTTCATCCTTATTATCGTAGCTCACAGACACAGTAAGTAACTCTACAAACCAGATTCAGCATAGTATTAAAACACTCTCCAAACATGAGCAAAGCTGGGGAAATCTGTGAACAATAATGAATAAATGTAAACAGTAATGAGGGATTACTTGATGTTGACATTAAACAAGAATGTGCTGTACGTTTAAAACCTATCAAATATATATATATATATTTTACTAAAACATGGTATATTTATTTATCCATTCCATAATATGTTAATTTCTTAGAAATGTATAAATTATATAAAGTCATGTCAATCATATGTAACTCTTCTATAAATGTAGGTCTTTAGACGTTTAAAAAAAAAAAGTTGTTAATCAAGCACAAGAAGACATTTGAATACATCAGTACTTCTGTTTTTATTGCTTAAAAGACAAAAAAAACCAAGCACTAATTAATCAGCCCCAGACTGAAATCAGCCAGCTTTCCATTGATCAACTCTAAACTGGTGATCAGCAGGTTAAATAAATAAAAAAATCAGTTGTTGTTTTTACCGTTCATGTAAATGAATCAAAACTAAATTCTCCCACAATTTTTGGTCTGTAAACAATGTGTACTTTAATACTGGCTTTAAAGTACACACTGTATTTTAGGCTGTGAAGTACTTTAAAGTGCACATTGTACTTTAAAGCCAGCATTTAGTATTTTTGTATTTAGTAAAACTTGTATGCATAAATTAGCATGGCTTTGTTCATTCTCTGTTGGCTTCAAAATTGCAACTCTTATCAAAGGTGTTGGACCTAAAAAAATAATAATTGAAAACCAGCATAGGCCAGGAGAATGCTGGTCGGTGCATCATTTAATTGTTCTCGATAAAGCTATATTTATAGAGTTTACTGGCTTTTTTACGGATAATATTGCTCTCTTTGCTCCAAACATTTACTTGCTATTGAAAAATTCAAGTGCCCTTTAATCCTCTAACCATATTAGAGGTGATATTTTATTTTGGATAAAATAAAAAAAGAAAGAGGGCTAAAAAACGTGAGTCATTGTAGTTAATAGTAAGAGAATTATTAAATTAAGACCAATAAAATGTCATAAAATAGCATTAAATATGTATATATATATATATATATATATATATATATATATATATATATATATATATATATTTATAAACAAATATATTTTATTATATAAAATATATAG